GGGAAGACTGAAAGGAAAAAAAAGAGAGAGAGAGACAGAAAATGCTGTCGAACCTGGCAGAATTCCAGGGTGGGTAATTACATTCTTTGGGGTGTGTTCTTACCACACACACAATCTGTGGAGTATTTTGGGAGCCTTCTGTATGAACTGTGCTAAAAACATGAAAAATATTATCATTATTATTATTATTTTTTACATCTTTCAAAATGGGGCCCTTCTAAAGCCACAGAGGCACCCGCTCTCTGATTGCACTTTCATCAAATTTGCTGGCTCTCGGTGTTCCCAGATCATAAATTTGATGTTTGTTTGTTTGTTTTTTTTCTCCCCATGAATTGTTTCACACTAGAAGCCTAGAATGTAAAGCCAGACAAGACCTTGGTACAAGCCCCGCATCTTGCAGATGGAGGCGCGAGCCCAGGGAAGGGAAGGGACATGTCTAATGACACAGCCGCAAGTAACAGGGGATGGAAGAGAGCACAGATCTCCCAGGCCTGATCTGTTGCACTTTCCCTTCCCATCCCTGGTCCCTGTCATCAAATGGAGTCACAGTATGTCGGAACTGTGAGAACCAGGACGGTCCGTAGCCATCACCTCATCCAACCTCATCATTTTACAGATGAAGAAACGAAGGGGAAATGGACGTGCCTCCCAAATTGATATTGAGGCAGGTGGTTGGACCCTTGTCTCCTGACTTCACTGAATCAGAATTAGCCCTCAGTGTCCAAGGGGCCAGATCGAGTTCAGAGACACCCCTCTTTTTTCTAGTCCTTGCAATGAAGTTGCACATAGCATTTTAAAAGAGACGAAATCTGTATTTCTGTTTTCTTTTGGAAAAAAAAGAAAATCAGAAGATCTGGCCATGCCAAGCCTAAATTTCCTTATGGCAATAACTGGTTGTCACTGAGGACCTGCAACCACCTTGTGACATGGCCTGGACTCACTAGTTCTCTTGGTCCTCACTTCCCTCTCTCTCCCCAACTTAGCTTACTTCATTCTTTTGTCTGCTTGGCATAAGTAGGCATTTGAGTTTGAAATCCCTTTGAAATTCAACACAATTCTCCTTGATTTGTGGTATAAAACCAGAGCCAAATAGATAAATCTTAGGATACTTTGGCTACATGATAATGGAATTTAAAGCATGCCAAAGATAGGAGCCTAGATAGGCCATAACTGATCTTAGGAGTAGGTGCCATGCTGTCTGTTGGGCACAATTTGAGCAGCATTAGAAGAATTTTCCTGTCACCTCCCTGGAGTCCCTCCACCTGAACTCATCCATATAGACTTCAAGGAGCTCCCATCTTTAGGGATCCCATTTTAAAATGTGAGAAGTCTTAAAGAAGATGAACCTAAATCTTTCTTCAGTGCAGTATACCAGAAAGGGAGACTGGAGAAGGCGCCCAGGTGTCTAGTTCCTGTTGTGACACTTGCTATGTCCCCTTAAGCCAGAGTTTCTCAACCCATGCACTATTGACATTTTGGATTAGATAATTCTTTGGGAGGGAGGCTGTTCTGTGTATTGTAGGATGTTTAGCAGTATCCCTGGCCTCTGTCTGTTAGAAGCCAGTAGCATGCCCAACCCCAATGGTGAGAACCAAAAGTATCTTCAGACATTGTATGTCCTCTGGAGAGACAAAATCACTTCCAGTTGACAATCACTGCCTTAAACAAACATCTACCCATTCCGAGCCCTACTTCATCTGTAAAGTATATTCTAATTCCTGACTTTGTAGGGTTGTTGAGAGGATGAAGTAAGATGATGGATGTACAAAAAACCAGTTGCTATCAACTCGACTCCAACTCATGGTGACGGCATGTGTATCAGAGTAGAATTGTGCTCCGTAAGGTTTTTAATGGCTGATTTTCCAGAAGTAGATCACCAGACCTTTATTCCAAGATGCCTCTGGGTGGACTCAAACCTCCAACCTTTTGGTTAGCAGCTAAGCCATCTAAATCAAATGTGTCACATATTTGTAGAGTTTGGCCATTGTTAGCAATAAACTGTGAAGAATCAAGACAGTCTTCCGAAAGTGGGGTATGACAAATAGGATTGGGGGCTAGAAAGCGAGACAGCATGATGAACTAATGAAGGATAGAATCAGAATAGGTTATTTAGGGGAAGAGGCTGTTTGGTATGTAGTCCTCACCTTTGAGGCTGAGGAAAAGAGGAGATCACCTTCTACCCACAGTCAGTCTGTTCCTTCTTACCCACATTCCTGGTAAAGTAACTGTCATACTAAAAATAACTCATCACTCTCCATCACCCATCAGGAATTCAGTGGCTCATAAACCTCTTGCAGGTTTCTTGTTTCCCATTTCCCCATCCTCTCTACCCAATCTCACATCAGAGACTCCAGGCTCACAGAACATAAGGCACCCTTCCTGCCTTTAGCCCCTGCTGGTGATGGTTCCTCTGCACACACCATCCTCTCCCAGCTCTCGCCTTCTGCCTGTGGTTTCCTCATCCTTCATGGTCCAGCTCATTTGAAGCCTTGCTGGATCCCCACAGACAGACATATTGTTTGCTTCCTTTTTTACTCCCCAGGTGTTGTGTTTACATCTCTATTAGAGAGTTTATCATGGTCTGCCTTGGATGACAGTTGGCTGAATTCTCTTTCTCTTCTACTGCGTTTACCTGGCTTCAGGTGGAGACTGTGTCTGATTCCTTTCTGTATTCCCCTAGCACCTGGCATGCTGTTGGATACAGAGTAGGCTCCCCACCAATATTGGAATTGAAAATTTTGAAAACAAATGGGATAAACAGTTGAACCTACGTGTAATTTGATCTAAATACCCAAGCTTGAAATGTGCAGATTCAATGTCTGTTTAATCATTAAGTGACTATTTATTTAATAGGCCAAGGGGAGCCATTGGATATATTTGAGCAGGGCAGTGACATAGTTAGAACTATATTTTAGGAAGATCCACCTGACTATATGATTTATAAGGATCACAGAAACGCATTTTTGTGCCTCCTTTAAGCCACCCCCCACCACCACCAAAGTAAGTAAAACAATTCTTAACTATTACAGGTGAGCATTGAGGTTTTGCTAATTAATCCTTGTAAAAGGCTTTGAGATCTTCCTTTGAAAGTTAGACAGAAAAGCATGAAGGCTTCAGTGACAGCCTAATTATTATTATTACTAGGCACAAAGCTCAGAGAACTTAAAAGATCCCCAGGTACCATCCAAAATAGTAAGAGACAAAAAATGTACATGGAAAAGTATATTATAAGATGGAATCATTGAATCACAGACTCTAATGTTGGCAGGGAGCTTAGAGGTGATCGTCCCTGTTCCTGATTCTGTTCTCCCACCCTCCCAAGCTGATGCTCACACTCCCTCTAGAATATCTCTGCCCAGTGCTTACTGCTATTAGAGCCCAGTGGTTAAGACCTTGGACCTGATGCCAGAGTTTCCTGAGTTCAAGTCCTCAATCTCTTCCTAGTTGGCAGTGGAACTTCTGGTAAATTATTAGACTTCAGTTCCTGCATCTAAAAATGGGGATGAAATTGCCTACCACAGTAGTTGTTGTATAATTAAATGCATCATGTGCAATGCTTATCCTAGTACCTGGTACATGGTAAATGATGAATAAACATTAGCTTTAAAAAGCACAAACTAATTAATATATGTGAAAGTGCACAGGAAATGGTAAAGCATCCACCTTCCATGTTTAGCTGTTCCTAGTTTGGGTACTCCATAGAACACACTTTCTTGCAAATCCCAGCGCTTGTAACTGCCCTGTGGGATCACTCTTGGTGAGAAAATTGAGGAGTCTTTGGCTAAAATGACCTATTCAAGGGATAAAGTCTATTCTTCCTCATTCCAAATGAAGGAAAGGTGGCCTTTGCTTTTCCTGGATTATTCTCTGTTGGGTGGGAGGCCTGATCATGGCCATGGGTGAGTTGGTGTCCAGACTAAGTTCACAGGTTTGACTGTACATAGGACCTGAAGGTCCAGGCTCCATCTTTGTAGGCCAATGTCATTATGATTTAATCTTGGAGTCTCGGTTTTTTCATGCGTAAAATGAGGATCATAGTCACTTCATAGGGCTGGTGTGAGGATAGAGTGAGACAACACAGTGAGGCTGCTTCATACACTGTAAAGTTCTCTGTGGCTGCTAATCACTGCTGCTTGGAGACCCACTCTAATTCCTGAACAGAATTGTTGTCTCTACAGGTCTCTACAGGAAGCCCTGGTCCAAGAGGGTCTCTAGGGTTTCAGGTTACACTAGACATGACCAGTGTCCAGAGATAACTGAAAGAAGCCTGAGTCTTCTCACTAGAATCTCTGCAAAATGACTCATGTAATTGCTCTGTGTAAGTATCCTTAGCCTTTATTGTACTCCCACAGGATTCTGATGCTATAGACTCCCGTGGAATGCAGAGGGAGGAGGACGGGGCCCCTTTTAAATGCCTAGGATTTAAAAGAGACCTCCAATTCCAACTGGAAATGTAGACATGTTCCGCCAAATGCCCAAATCTAGGCAGCTGCCAATCATTTCGAGTCCCCCTGTTTGTATTTCTGTCATTCCTCCCATTAGGGGGAAAACGTTTTTTTTTTTCTCTTCAAATTTTCTAGGAGGGACTTCTAGGGTCTTCCCCTCAGGAATTAGTTGTAGGAATAATTGGGCCAGTGGAGTGCAGGATATATATCCAGCACAGCCCGTGCACTCCTAGAAAAAGTGACCTAGATCAGGCAGTGGGTGGATCCAGGACTATTGCAGGGACCCCCTGCTACCTACTGACTTACAGCTGAACCCACATTCCCAGTAGCATCTGCCTGGCTGGGGGGCTGGGGGAGGGAGCTGAGGAAGATGGGGGAGGGTGAAGGGGACTGCAGGGTTGCCTCTTTCTGGACCAAGCTCCACAGATCACCCCCCATCCATCCATCCCCACAGCCCGAAAGGAGGATGAGGAGAGGACGAGAGGCAGAGGGTGGTAGGTAGAAGAGGTCAGCTGTGGAACTCGGAGCTGGCTTCTCTCCTCGGTGAATATTAGCATAGAGCTTGCTGCTTGTGTGAGTGTGAGGGGGAGAGCGAGCGAGAGAGCTAGGGAGGGAGCGAGAGGCAGGCTGCAAGAGGAGAGGGAGAGGGGGAGCAAGCACTCCAGCGAGCTTGAGGACAGGCTTCTCTCTTCTGTGCTCAGTTGATCTGGCTGTCAGTTGGTGTTAACGCTGCAGTTTAAGTGCTCAGATTCCAGGGGAAACAGACAAACCTCGCAGAAGGAAAGAAGGAAGCGAGCAAAGAAGGAAGGAACTGCAGGAGGAAAAGAAGAAGAGACAGAACAACGAGAGGAATAAAGGGAAGTGGGGGAAAACATCAAATCTATGATTGGACCTGGGCTTCTTTTTCGCCAATGCAAAAAGGAATATGCAGCACATTTTTGCCTTCTTCTGCATTGGTTTCCTAGGCACGGTAGTAGGTGCCAATTTCCCCAACAATATCCAGATCGGTGAGTGAGAGGGGCCGCCTGGGGAGGGACTTTCTGGGTCTGGCCAGTGGTTTGGAGGGATCTGTACCCCCACCAAGTAAGAGATGTTGTGCTTGGCCATCTAAAGCTGTGTGGTGATAGGAGGGGGACTTGGGCTGTCAGCGTGGGGAGGGGGGCTTCGCTTGAGGAGATGAGGGGCAAAGGGGAAGTGTGTGTACACACACACACACACACACACACACACACACACACACACACACACACGCGCGCGCACCCCACTCACACTCCAGCCATGAGCATGTGAAATGGAGGAACCACTGCTTTGGAGTCAAAAAATAATAATAATCAGGCTGTAGCAAGGAAAGAAATGGTGGGTGTTTAAGGAGTTAACTCTACTGCTTGGTAGATGGTGCCCAATTTTATTTATATAAATATGAGTGGTGCGTGTATACATGTGTATGATTATATATTTAAAATGCATATATATGTTTAATTGAAGGGGACAGTGATTTCTCAGCTGGAGGAGCAGAAAGAGACCCTCTTAAAGGAGTGAAGGGTGCTGGGTTTGTGGCAGCCTCTGAAATAATGCCAGATGCCCCCACTCTAAGGTGAGGGGGCTCTCTCTCCTGCTCTGGACTCCCCTAGCTGCCTTCTCTTTGCTGTCTGCCTTGCTGGGCTGGAGGCCCCCACCTCCCAGTCCTGGAACTTCCTACCCTGCTTTCCCTCTATTCCTTCAATTGCCCTCCCTTTAAATTTTCTGTCCACAGACATTGTCTACCTTTTACGCGCACACACACACACACACACACACACACACACACACACACACATACACACTCCTTTCTCCTGTTAGCAGTCCCCATCTCTGGGCTCCATTCTCTCAACTTGGAGGCAGGTTTCACCATGCTGCATGGCTTTTTGTTCCCATTTCCACTCCCTGCTTGTTGTGCTTCCATAAGGACCCCCACTCTCTCTGTATTTTATGGGGTGGCTAATAGATATCGCTATTCCTAATAAAAATGGGGAAAGCGAAACAAACAGGAATGATACCACCAATAACAACACGTTTGCAGGAGGACTTAGGGCTTCAGTGTGACCAGCAGCATTCCAGGGCTGTGTGTGTTCCAAATCAAGCGAGCTGCTTTGCTTGGAGCTTTCTTGGTTGGCTTGGCTTCTGTTTTCTTTCCCCTGATAGGGAGGTAGCTCCACTAGGGAAAGTTCTGTTGCTGGGAGTTTGTGTTCTTTGTGTGAGTGTGTGTTTGTGGGGGGTGTGGTGCTGGTGGTGTTTGGTCGGGAGCACATGTGCTGCAGTTCAGGTCTCCCCTTGGCCTCTCCTCCAGCTAGCTGGCCTCCAGGGTGGTTGGAGTAGCCGTGGAGTAACTTGCTGTTTCCTGACACCTGTTAAGCTGCATTCTGAAGTGTGTATGTATATGTGTGTTAGTGCCTTACATGAAAAACTTCCTGCCTTCCGGGAGATACTTCCCTTGTGTAGCCCATCCTGTAGCCTTCTACCTCTCCACCTCCCATCTCCTCTTTCATTCATTGCAGGGGAGGGGGAAGGGGACAGGGAAGTGTTTGGGGTGTGGTCATCTGGGAGGAGGGTGTAGCCTCAGAATCAAAAACACAGTTTTTGTTGTTGTTGTTTTTACTCTTTAAAACAAGGGCAGTTGTATATGTGTAAATCACTTATTTTAACGTGTGGGATTGTTTGTGTCTGTATGTCTATATTGCCCACACTTTGCTGAGTGCAAAGGCTCGTGCAGAGATATATGGACTTGGCTTTCTCCAAGTATATTTGTGCATTTTGCCGTGGATAGAAACACATGGGGGTGTTTTGTGTGCGTGTACATGGGACATTTGCTTGTGTATCTCTGCGGATTGTTTATCAAATTCAGCCCCAACATGCTTGTTCAGCTGATAAAACCCGTGTCATTTTAGTTTTCAAATAAAAGATTGAAACATGAAATTGTAGAACAAGTGCTGAATAATGTCACTGCCGTCAGGTAATACTTGATTCCACTTGTATGATCTCTAACAAAAACATTGCAATCTACTTATTGGTTCTTAAAAAGAAATATGTACCCACTGTATAAGAAGTTAGAAGTGCATTGTATTGGGGCTGTGATTTCTGCTGGATCTGGGATGAACTTCTGTCTAAGCATTCATTATAGTTCAGTCTCTGGAAATAGCTGATTTTAATTTCCAGAAATGTATTGTAATTTATTAGCATGTCCACAGTAAACACAAAGGTAAGCCATGTACTCTTGTTTCTTGGAACAAGAGCCCCAACAGGAAGCTTTTCTGTGCTTTTTACTAAAATAGAATGCTCGTATCCTCCTGACATTCCTAAGACTGCACATTTTTGAAACACAGGGTTCTACCATGCAAATACTCACAATGGTAATCTCTTATGTAACAAGTCATTCCTAGGTAGCTGGGATCAGGAGTGGTGAAAGAAGTAAATCACTGTTTGCAGAAAATCAAGAATTTGAAGAGGAAATGAGCAATAAACCGTAGAGGCTATGGAATGGAATGATTTAAATTACAGGCAGGTCTTGCCGGGCCAAGGACCAAAAGTGCCAAAGCAAAGAGGTATAATGTTGGAGAAGCCCACAGGGTCCCAGAGCTAGATTAACTAAAAGAACATTTATTAGCTTCCACTTCGTATAAGGCTCTGTGGTAAGAAATGTGTCTGATAACAGGACAAAATAAACACAATGAGGGTTTATGTGCATGCAAGAGTATAGGTCACCTATGTGGTTTGCACACGGAAGGAAGAAGAGACACAGCACAGCGCTCCTGTTTTCCCTGAACTGAGCTGAGTTGAGAGTGAACAATCAGATGTTTGAGGAGAGTGATAAATGTTGGAGGCCCTTGTCACATCAAAGCTCATAGGTAGAAGTTTAAGCCTCAGTGCCCCGTTGAGTCTATTTGAACTCTCATCCCTTCCAGTAAAGGCTACACTAGAGGGTTTGACATGGGCAGAAGAAAGGGGCCAATCTGGTGTGGGCTGCTGAGGAACTAAAACCTATTTCTTGCCTAGATACCATGTTGTATTTCCTTTCCTCACAGGGGGATTATTTCCAAACCAGCAGTCACAGGAACATGCCGCTTTTAGATTTGCTTTGTCGCAACTCACAGAGCCCCCAAAGCTGCTTCCTCAGATTGATATTGTGAACATCAGCGACAGCTTTGAGATGACCTATAGATGTAAGTAATTGCTTCTATTTCTGAGATTGCTTTCTGTGATCGACCAATGAGCGGAGGGCCTGTGGGTAGGTGGTGGTGTTGCAAAAATGACGGAGTTGTCATCCGTCTTCATAAGAGAAAGCCCTCCAAGAAAAATTTCCAGGGCTGTTTGAGTTATTCCAGCAGCTGGTGTTTCACATGCTGCAACGCTTCATCGAATGGGTTTGCTTTTTCCCTGTCAGCTAACTTCTACATGCTAGCAAGAAAGGTACTTGAGCTGACTCCTCCTCCCCCACCTTGCCAAGGTTTTCTGGATCAGCTGAGAGAGTTTCACGCATAGGAAACTTCTGAGAGGTGGAGACTAAAGGGTCTGACTTGGAAAATGTGGCCTAAAATTCTCAAGCCTTTTCTTATCCACAAGTTAAAAGGAGACTATGTCCCTGTGGCTTGATAAGAAGGGGTAGGTGAGAAGTTGTATGCGTGATTTCCCATTTTTGGAACTGACCAACAATTATTAAAATGTGTGCTTTGATTATTTCCAAACTGGCTTGAAATGACTGAAGTTTGTAGGATGGCCTTTGAGCATAAAACAGAACAGTGGTGGCAACAAGAAGGAGAAGGGATAGGTAACTCTCAAGCGTCTGACTTGAATGCATTACAAAATGCAAGCAACAAATGCCATTCTGAGTTTTTCTGGCAAATAAGACTGAAAAGGAAACCTGTGTGATTGTATGATTGTCATTTTATGTCATATTAAAGCATAAAAATTAATCAGTAGTAACATTTTACCTGTAGGGATTAAGCTTAAGTAGGAATGTGTGGCACGGAAGTGTGAGTTGAACGGGCAAGAACAACTTCAGACCCAAAACTGGATAAAATTGGTACCATAGACTTTGTGGGCCACTGCTGACTTGGTGGAGCCCTGGTGGCATACTGGAGCCCTGGTGGCGTACTGGTTAAGAGCTACAGCTGCTAACCAAATGGTCAGCAGTTCGAGTCCATCAGCCACTCCCTGGAAGCCCTATGGGGCAGTTCTACTCTGTCTTATAGGGTCACTATGAGTCAGAATCCACTCAACGGCAATGGTTTTTTTTGTTTTTGGTGTCACCTTGGTGACTTCCACTGAGCTGTGGGTGGTTGAAGGCAAGGATCATATTTCCTTCATCTCTTTCCCAAATTCTCACATGGTGGCCTCTCAATGACTTGAACTGAACACACTTTGAAGGCTCAAAATGAAAATTCAGAAATCTCTCTTAATTCTGAGACCACCCGTAAACTAATATTGATACAAATTCCAAGAATTGTAATTATACCAGACTCCATTTATTCAGGACATACTGTGTGTCAAGAACTATGATAAGTATTTTATAGATAATTATAGTAATATTCATTACCATTTTTTGAGCATTTACTATGGCCCATGCAATGCACTCATTACCTTTCATATATTGCTTCATTTAATCCTTGCAGGAGCCCTGCAGAGTAATGTATGTTGTATTCCCTTTAGAAATGAAGAAATTAAAGTTGAAACAGGTTATGAAACTTGCCTGAGGTCATCCAGGAGGTAAATGGTGGTCTTGTGACCCCAAGGCCCATGTTCCTGACCACTGATAGATATACTGATCTTTGTGTAACCTGAGAATACCCAAGAAATCAGTTATTAGGATTTTGTCAAGTGTGGCCTGGAGAAGCACCTAAGGAGGAAAACTTTTAGTGCTTCAAATCGTAGCTTTGATTTTGCTCAGCAGTAATCCATCTGATAGAGAAAATAGGGATTCTGCATTTTAGTAATACTGACGTTGAAAATTTTGTTTAATGTGTTACCACCCTCAAAACAGAGCTGAATTTTAATTATTGAATGTTGAATTGTAGTTCTGTGAGAACATCTCCTTGAGGAACTAGAATAATATTGATTTAGCTATCAGACAACGTACATTCTTTTTGATTTGGCTTAGTTTAGGGTCGTTTAGAAGGAGCCCTGGTGGCACAATGGTTAAGTACTCAGCTACTAAATAAGAGGTCAGCGGTTCAAACCCACCAGCCACTGTGCGGGAGAAAAGACCTGGAGATCTGCTCCTATAAAGATTACAGCCTAGGAAACCCAAGTTCTACTCTGTCCTATAGGGTCGCTATGAGTCGGAATCAACTGGATGGCATACAACAACAACAAGGTCTTTTAAGGGAGGATTTGGCTGTAGGCATCACCTGATATTATGGATAATCTTCTGTTGCATGTATATGATATGCTAATTTATTTCCTAGGGAGAGGCTCTATAGCTTTTTTCATACTCCATAGATTTTGTCATGCTCTCAAAGGGGTCCATTACTCAAGAAGTATTACTTGCTAAGAGAATCAAGAAGAATAAATGACTGGCATGTGTTTTCACTTGCATTACTGAGAACTGTCTGCAGCAGAGCTTGGTGGAGAGAGACATTAACTGCTATCCTAAGGTCAAGATGTTGACTGGCAGAACAAGATAATAAAAGACAGAAATAGGAGGAAGTGTTCTAAGGCAAAAGGTGGTGCTTCTATATTGTTATCTTCACAACCTAAGACTTCACTTCCAATAGGATTGTTGACCAGTTATTAGGGAGGAAGAAATATGATACAGGTAGTGTTGTCCATTGTGGTCAGTGAACTTGGAGTGGAGAGATCTGGGTTCTTGAACTTGATTCCTGATATACATCAGTCTACACGTTTCCATGAAGTCCTGCCTTCTTCGTTTGATCATTCTTTAAATGTTTCCTCAATGCTTTGTACTGAGATGGATATTGGAAATACAAAGATGATAAAATGCCCAGGCTCTCAAATAGCTTATAGTCCAGTGGGGAACATTGTTGTGGGGCTTGTCTGAGAAGGAATAATAATATATTGTGCTTAGACCTTTAGTTTCTTCTCTTTAGATCCAAGATCAAAGAGAATGCGGGACAATTCGGGTGGCACTGTAATTCCCAGACTGCCTGTAGGATTCTCTGTAAATTTCCATGTGAGGCTAAAGAGCCCTTTGGGGCTATATTCACTATGGTCCATTAGTGTGGGAAAATCTTATACATGTCCCAGTTAGAATGAAGGAAAAAATACCAAAGGAAGCCAAGTGGCTTTGAGTAGGGTGGGTTGATTAATCATTTGCAGAAAACCAAGGAAATCATGTTATTCAGATTTAATTTTGTGTGCCTTTTTGAAATATGGACTAGTAGCTACCTTAAATTAACTGCCCCAAGTCAGTCTTACCCCAGAAAACAACCTTATCTTTGTTTTTTTTTCCCTACATTTTTGCTGTTGATTTATTTTTTCTGTGCATTTTGCTATTCATTGTCCCTCCACCAGAGGGTGGAGAAGGGAAGGGAGAGAACTATACCTGCTAGATGCATTAGCAACAGGGAATTAAAAAGGAAGAGTGGTGATTACAGAATAGGGGAAGTAGGGAGGACGGAAGGGGAGTGTCAGCTAACGCTACTAGCCAAGATGAGAGTTTGGTGTTTTCTTCGCATTTGATTTTTCTTGCTTTCCTTGCCTGCTATCAGTAAGGGGTAAAGTCATTGAATCAGCAGTCCAAATGCCTCCAGTACCCTTACAAGCCTACAGGGCCAGGAGTGGGGAAGCTTCCACAGAGATGGCACTTACTGACCCATAAACCCAAACCTGCTGCTGTCGAGCCGATTTCGACTCATAGCGACCCTATAGGACAGAGTAGAACTGCCCCATAGAGTTTCCAAGGAGTGGCTGGTGGATTCAAACTGCCAACCTTTTGATTAGCAGCTGAACTCTTAACCACTGCACCGCCAGGGCTCCGGGTGCCGACCAGCTGTTGCTTATCTTAGTGCCTTTGTGGTGAGTGTAAACAATGGGATGGATGAAAATGCTGACAAAGGTTTCAGTTAGAGGTCTGAGGAGCATTGTTGAAACTTAATTCTTGCCTTTTCATCCCTCCATCCATTCATCCATCGATCCATCCATCCAGCAAATATATGCCGAATACCTACTTTGTGCCAGTCACTGTGCTAGGTGGTACAAATACAATGGCTAATGAAGAAAACACAGCCTCTTTCCTTGTGGGGCTTGCAGTATAGCCCATGGGTCCTCGAACTTCCCTGTACATAAGATTCACTCAGGGAGCTTGTTTAAAGCAAGAATCAGGGCTGGGCACTGGTCTTCCTGAATCAGACTATGCAAACAGCAAGCCCTGGGGGGACTCTGTAGTAGGTAGTATTGGTATCACACTTCCATAAACTCTTCTTTAATCTAAAAAGTCCTCCCTTCCACTTTGAGTCCTTAACCAACCCAGGCGTGTGTTAAGCACTAGAAATGCAGACAAAAGTAAGGCATGTTCCCTGCCCTGGAGGCTAGACTTTATCCCTAGTGAGGCTGACTGTCCTATAAAGAGAAAATTAAAATATAATGCTGTAAGTGCAATAGCAGGGATTTGTACAGAGTGTTAGAGAGGCCTTAAGGAGTCGGGTCGGCCTCACAGAGTGGTGGTGAACTGAGCTTCAAAGATAAATAGAAGTTTTCCAGGAGGACAAGATCACGGAGGTAGGGGTGAGGTGGGAAAGGAATGAGGCGGGAACATCCCAGATAGAATGAATAGCATGTGCAAGGACAAAGAGGACATGTTACCTTGTTCCTCCTGTGTTCTGACTGTGTGGCATGCCCTGTTGGGCCTTTTAGTTAGTGGTTATCAGATACTGCAGAAGTCCTTGGGTGGCGCAGATGGGTAAACACTGGACTACTAACTGAAATGTTGGAAGTTCAAACCACCCAGCGGCAGCTCAGGAGACAGAGCAGACAATTGCTTCTGAAAGGTCACAGCCTTGAAAACTTTATGGAGCGGTTCTACTCTGCCCATATGGGATCGCCATGAGTCAGAATCAACTTGATAACAACTAACAACAGCAAACTGGTACAGCGCGCAGTCAGGCTGGCCAAACTGGGACAGCAGTTTCAGATACTGCAGAAGGGGGTCACCAAATGGTCAACCACAAGCCAATTTCAGGCCCATTTAGTGTTTACAAATTAGGGA